CACGTGACCCCCCAGGTCACGTGACCCCTCACCCCGAGGTCATGTGATCTCCCAGGTCACGTGACCCTTGAGGTCACGTGACCCCCCTTCCCCCTTCCGAGGTCAACTGATCCCCCCCCCTACCCTTCCCTCCACCTCCTCAAGAGCTGCGCTTAAACTCGGCGTTACAGGGAGTTGTAAACGGCTTTCATTTTTTTCATCTTCAAATTTCACACCGTCGTCACCAACGAACGCCCAAGAGGTCGTACGTGTAGGGTTTATATTTTTTCAAAACTTTTTCCGGTTGCTTGTAAGAATATTTTTCAAGCCATGTTCAAAAAGCTTTAATCTTGCCTGTGCGATTGCATTTTTATATACCTTTGCATGATTTGAATATTTATCCCAAAGACTTTTATTCGACGGCGATAATTTTGTTTTCTTGGCGAAAATGTCGGCAAGAAATCCGGCGGCCGTGATTGGCCAACTCCACAGTTGACCTTGGTGCCGACCAATCATAGCATCCGGATTTCCCGCCGATTTGTTTTTTTCGCCAAGTCTCCAGATTGGGGCCCCAGAGCTCGGTGTTCGGACGCCCCCACGCGCTCTGCTTTCCTTCTTTCCCCCAGTTTCTACCCGTATAACAATAGTCGTTTTTACGGCAAGCGAAGAGAAACCCTACTTACGCATAATCTCACCGCCGATTACCTCCCCTTCTTTCATTTGCAGAAAGCTCTCTTGTTCTCCATGTGTCGCCATTTTCCGATTCTCACAGTGAAAGTGGTATGAACACGATCATTCAAAATGGCGGCAACGGTTGCGTCGGTGCGGGAACCCCCAACGGCAAGCCGGTCGAGTTTCTTCTGGAGACCGGCAGATGCAACGCAGTTTCCCTCGAGTGGAAAAACCTCACATATTCAGTGCCTGTAAAAAAAGGTGAGCTTTCTGTTCTTTCGTAACTCAATACTATCGACTGTGGCTACTATGTCAAATATAAGAAAGAGAAAAAAAAAATACCTCACTTGGCTTTTGTAAATGTGACGTGCGCGTAGCGCACGTAGATTGTCTTTCATGAACAATGCTGTTGAATGTTTTGACGGTGTTCTCTATCGTATAAACTGTCCCTTTGAAACTTTGCTCTCTTCTGTTGTTGTTTTTCGGAGTGAGAGATCGGCATTGTCCAGTGACCCAAATACCCCCGTTGTCTTAGCGTCCGACTGGACATGTTTCACTAAAAATCTAATATTAATTCGTATTTAATCAAGAAATCCCACGCATTATTTCGTAAAACAAACAAACTGTACAAACTGACATTGCAACGCTATCGATGCGAGCCTCTTTCATAAAAGTAATACAAAGTAAGGCGTATTTCATTTCTCCTTTAATTTATTTTGTTCTTAATACACACGTACCGCGAAACCAACAAGACACACATCCGATTCATTTCCAACCGCCGCTTATTACATTTCGTACACTTACACCGCGCATGCTGGATATCGTTTTTAAAATCATGCACGGTGTAAAAGTACAAAGTGTGAAAAGCGGCGGTTGGAAATTAATCGGATGTGTGTCTTGTTGGTTACGCGGTACGTATGTTTTTCCAACATTAAACCAGTTGCAAGTAGCGCTCTGCGGTGTGTGTCTCTCCTACTCGTCCGTCGTTTTTAGCGTTTTTTACCCCTAAACATGTTCAACCAACTAGACCAAATCCAAACCCTTCTGCGGTGCTAGCCTATACTGTTGAAACCGGTTAAAACGAAGTCGGTTATGACGAAATAGCGGCAACAGCAAAGCGATCTCGATTTCGCTTGCGCACTTCGTTATAACCGAAGGCGGTTATAACGAAATAGCGGGTATAGCGAAGTGATTTCTGATTCCCGTTGACTTTGTCATAACCGGTCTTGATGTACTTCGATGTGGCGCCGACAATTGGCGCAACGCAAATGCGGCGCCGGCACCGTGGCGGCTCGACCGATCATCCCTGTACAACGACGTGCCATTACGGCTCGTACAAATGCGATGCACACTGCGTTCAGGGATAGAAATCTTGAATACTAAAACGAGAGAGTAAAAAAACTATAGTCAGTGACAGGTCAAGAGCGAAGTAGAAGCCCCTCCCACCTCTTTCCATTTTAGTAGAGCGAACGCTGGAGAGGAGGCGACCTCCTCTCCAGCGGTGGAAGCCCCTCCCGCCTCTTTCCACTTTAGTAGAGTGAACGGTGGAGAGGAGGCGACCTCCTCTCCACCGTTCGCTCCGCTGAAGTGGAAAGGGGTGGAGGAGCTTCCACTTCGTTCTTGACCTGTCGCTGACAATAGAAAATTGTGCATTACATAGACACGCGTTGGGCTAAAGAAGCGTAATAAAGACTTTCGTTAGACTGTCTGCTAAAACCAAGACGCGGCTCGGTGACCCCTACGGGGAAGCTCGGCGAGTATCTTCGGCGCCCGTCGCCTATTCTTTGCCTTTCACAAAGTAGTTGAACGAGTTTACGGAATTTCCAGGTTTTAAGTTCTGTCAGGTATATGGGCCAGGGGAGTCGAACAGGTAGTAATGAAGATGCACACACGAAATCTTTGGCAGATTTGTCATTTGTATGAGGTACAAGTGCTCTTTCTTTTCAACCAAGGCATTCGAAAGACATGTCAATCCCGTATAAGTCAATTTTGGGAGGCACCTCAGTTAGTCCTCGGCGATGAGACTTTTAAAGTACGCGCTACTCATTGTGAGTCAACCCGAACCAACATACTCGCCCCGAACGTTTGGCCATGTTGGTTTTTGTTTACCGACGAACAACCTGTATACTCTGCTTTCCTGGTTCGGCTGCAGAACGTACAAAAACCAAAAACTCGTGAAGCAGTTTTTATTTTCTTTTTTTCCGTCCTTACCGTAACGGCGGGGACTTTTGCTATTGAAACAAACTGTTATTATGTTCGATGCACGCACTGACAAGTAACCTTGCTAGGTAGTATCTATTAAATTAAACGTAAAATGCGGTGTCGAATTATTTATTTTGTTATATAAGGTTTCACCCAGAATTTCTTAAAACCGCTTGCGGCATTTACATTAACAAGGTTCAATTAAAGCAATTATAAAAAAAGGCAGTTCAAACAGAAGTAGGGAAAACGGGATGAGGCAACTGCAAGATTAGCTATACTGAAATTGAGTAAACCTGCCGGTTGGGAAAAGAGGCGCTGTGAGCGGTTTACAGACACGTTTGTTGGAGCGCTTGTCCTTTCCGTGGGTCTATGTACAGTTTCGGCTGTAATGTGCTGGGAGCGTCACGTGATTGTTACGGCAACACTAGGTCGCTGCTGTTGCAGTTGCATTGGACGCAGAGCCCTATAAAAAATAGAGTGGCCAATAGGATATGCAGGGCTGATGCCATTGCAGTGAAGTCGCTGCCACCAACGCGTCATATTGTCACGGGTGGGGTCCAAAAGTACAATAATCAAACAGGAAAAAATAAACGTTTAATGTGGCGAACTTGCGCCCTAAACAAAAAGGGAATAGACGATAACAACAGCGCGTCGCGAGCGTCGAAGTCGGCGTAACAGCAGGTTCGAACGCTGAGGCGAGACTGACTCCACTCGCCATGCCTTGGAGTCCCGGCTATTCGGCGTAGACCTTTCGGCGCGTGGAACATTCGGAACTCGATCAGACGAGTATGTTCTTGAACCTACGAGAGCGCGAAGTTGAAAGAATAAATGAAATGACATTCCGCTAACTGGAATCGAACCTAGGCCTTCCCAGGCCTTCACATTCCAGTACGGTAACCCTTCGACAACTTTTTTTTTCTAGCTTTATTTCCCTTCGGCCACGCACGCGCTCGCTCGGCAACGCGCGTGGCAATATGATCTCTCCGCGATTATAGGGCACGCGAAGGGAAATACAAATATTCAATTATTCGATTCCACGACCCAAACTACAAAACACAAATTTACAAAAATTAAAAAAAAAATCACGATGATCTGATTTGACTTGTCTTGGCGAGCAGCCCGGATAATATTCACCTAACGTTCGTGACCCCAACTCGTGTGCGGAGCCGCCTCTTCACTCACCGAGAGTTCTCGGCTCTAACTTCGGAGACGTGAAAATGGAATAATATATTTTGGTTCTCGGAGTTTTCTCGCTCTTACTGGTAAGGCAGTACCTCTTAAATGAAAGAGAGTTTCATTTTAATCGAAGAATTAAACTCTCTTCCAGAAATAATTTTCGTCGTTCAAAAACCTTCCGGCATCGAAGAAGCATTTGCTATGTTAGGAATGACTAGCTGACTTCTACCCTGTTTTAATTTTTCTTTCAATTTTTTTTATTAACTCCCCCTCCCCTATACAAAAAGCCCCAGTGGGTACTCTAAACTTAAATCAACTGAAAGTAATTAAAATCGCTGTCTCTGGTTAGCCAAAACATGTGATTGCGGACAATGATTAAACTATACTGCGAAGTATTATACAAATAATCAAACTGAGACTATAAAGACGACACGATAAACCAACTAGCCAAATCCCAGGCACTGTTTGCAGTCCCTTAATCGGACCTACGTTCAGCGAATGGCACTCCTTCATGTTCGGGCCGGCCAACCCCATAAGCAGCCGAACTCTCTGTCTCTCTCTTTATATATATTATATATACGTACTGTATATGCCTCTTACTTAACGCAGCGTCGCTAACCAATACTATCTAAAAGACAAGTCCTGCGCACGACGCACGACGTCGTCGTTAGTGGATGCCCGACGCGCCCCTCAACGGCAAGCGCGCAGAATCTAGACGAAAATCACCGCAAGGCGGCACACGCGTAGGTCTTGGCATCACCGCGTACGTCTTGGCGTCGTGCTCGTTGTCAGACGCTGTGCGACGGGCTCACGGTGATCCGTGGCGGTATTGAGCCGATGCGCATGTCTGCAATGGCCCTTGGGGACAATTGAGTCCCGGTTAAAGTGGGCCCGCTTCGTTGAAATCCAGTTAGAGAAGAGGCGCGAGAGGTCAGCAGGGCTCATTTAAAGCGGCGCGCCTTCTCTTCCAGGCCGGCGGGAGCTGATCAGTCGCATGTTCGGAAGGGCGGCTCCGGGCACCCTGACGGCCATCATGGGACCCTCCGGGGCCGGCAAGACCACGCTCATGAACGTCCTCTCCGGGCACTAGTAGGCGAGACCAAGCATCTTGTGTTTTGTGATATAGTAAACACCGTGGATACGTGCCAGGTGTTTGGTGATTCAGGAAAAAAGAAACTCTTTTCGGAAACAAACTTTCAGTATACGGTGGCCGTTAGGGATCGCAAAAACACACACTGAGTAACTAAATGACTGACTAAAAGTTAGTAATTAACTTTATAGTTAGTAGAAATATACATATGATTTTAATTACAGAACTTGCTGAGTGTCATCGTAAACCCCGATATAAGTCTTTGTTAGGAAGGCTTAAAGCACGTGTGAACGAGGGGGTGCACTGAGTTTCCATCCGTGCAGCAGGCACAAGGCTGGTGATGCGAAAACGCGGAGGATACTCTTATTCGTGTTTTCGCACCGCGTGCTTGCTGCACGAGTGAAAACTTTAGCCCCCTTCCGCGTTTCATACATGTTTTAAGTCGTTCTAAAATTGACTGATTTAGGGGTATCTGACGACGCTCAGCAAATTTATTACTTCAACCATATACTTATTTTCACGAATTAAATAGATATTTAGCAAATTTCATATAATCATTCAGCAAATTAGTACTTTTTTTTCTCTTTAGAATCCCTGACGTCCGCCGTGGCTGGCAGTTTTTTTTTTTTTTTTTGAGACGGGTTTGTTTGTTTTTTAACCACCCTATTGATAGGATTCTTAGAAAGTTTGTGTTAAAACACCCTCTAGATTAATTACTCTAAGACGCTCCTGTATACGTGCGAGGGCTGTTGTTTATTACGTGAAACGTTCTTTGGCTCGTCAAGAAGGGGATTGGGGGGGCGGGGGGGGGGGGAGTCGGCCAGATTTAGTGAAGTAAAAAAAATCAACAGCAAAACCCCACGTTGATTGACTGGTGAAAACGCCATGTGATCAACGCTGATTGGCTGATTCCTCTGAGTACGAGGGGTTTTGAAAAATCGCCGGGCTTTCAAACCCGACTGACGCCAGTATCTTCATTCCATCTACTAGATCCGCGACCCGCCCCAAGCACGTCGGGGAAACGCACTCCATCTTTTTGCGAGAAAAAAAAAAAACACTTCTGATCGTTTCTTTCACCTGTTTTAATCCAGAAGTGATGTGCCCGTCCAATGTGGGCCGTCAGCGTTCACGCGACTGCACTATGGTCTGCCAGAGCTACAAAACACTTTACTAAAGCTACACCAGAGTGCACTAGAGCTGGTTACTAGAGTTGCTCTACAGTGTACTATAGAGCTGCAGTGTACTAGAGTCAGTCATCTCACATACTGTACAGAAGCATGAGGTATATGACTTACGGTAGTTACATCGTGCCAAATATTCATTAAAAAAAAAAACACATCCGAGGATTTATGTGTTATGAGTTGTGAATGCGAAAGCATGAATGTCGTTCTTCCGCTCCCTTAGTTCGTTTGCGTTGTAGTGGCGTGGACGGCCACGTTTCGCTACTGCCGAGGTTGCGGCCGCCTACGATATAGGTGCCTCAGGCGCCGCCATGTTCCTCGGCGTCGAGAGGAGTAGAAGCATCTGCAGCACCCCCCCCCCCCCCACCTCTCTCTCTCTCTCTCTCCGGCTACGCCTGTAACGAGAGCGGCGGCCGAGCGCGCGCTCTCGTGAAGCGTCCGCCAATGGCTATCTAGGAGCCGTTTCGCTCAGCCAATGGGAGTATGGGTATTTCTTTCGCCTTTCGCGGTTACAGACGCCGCCGGCTCCACTCCATGGGATAGTTAATATTTTCGCATTAAAAAAGCAGCTCGAATTATAACTTACACATCGGAACTGCGCGTTTTAAAGCACAAGATCGGTGCTACGTTACAGAGAACCAATAACAACCCCGATCCAATAACAATACGTTTGAAAAGGGCCAGTCTAACTAGAGGTAATTTATCTGGGCATTTGCATCTTCCAGCATGTCATGGCACATATGGGGAAACACTAGTCCGTTTCTGCGGCACAAAAATATGGAAATTCCTACCTAACGATCTTCCATAGTCTCATAATTTTAGTTAAGCTCTAAAATGATACCTTTTGTTTTCTAACATCAGCTTCACAATTATAACCTTTATCTGAGTTTAGTGAAATTCGTGTGGTTACTATAATTACATGAGCCTTGTTGTATTTAATTGTTTTGTAGTTATTTTGTCGAGTTCTTCAATAACCTGTCCCGCCCACTTTACGCCTCAAATGCCTTATTTTTTATTGTTCCAAACTGGCCAAATGGCCAAGACTTCATCTGCTTTTTCAGTAAAATGTATCTGTGCACCTTACTGATAGTAAAACAAATTGAGCTGTTCTACAGTATACGAGAACTGGAGTTTATTAGAGCTGCTTTTAACTCTCACTTTAACCGCCCTAGTATACACTCTTTTGTTCGCTCTTCGTTCCAGCGACAAAGGCTACGAGGGTGAAGTGCAGGTGAACGGCTGGGTGCGGGACACGGAGCTCTTCAACCAGCAGAGCTGCTACGTCATGCAGGACGACTGTCTGCTGCCCGAGATTACTGTCAGGGAGGCCCTGACCATGAGCGTTCAGCTGCGCATGCCTTCTCTCGACTGCGCCAAGAGGACGCAGCTGGTGGGAATTTTTGTTTGTTTACTGTTCATCCACTGCGCTCGCATTTCTCGGAACGTTTTTTTTTTTTTTTTTTTTTTTGCAATTAGCCGAAGTGAATCTGCGTAGGCGAACATTAATGTCCCCTTTTAACAGGATGTAAGTTCGCTACATTCGGCGGTCGTGTGACAGTCTTTTGTGATGCTTTTTGTACCTGACGTCAGTCGCAAGAACTCTATGCACCAACTCTACTCTCAGACCCCACACCACTACCGCGGTGCTGCTGTAAGCACTACGCATTAAGCAGAAAAAACACATGAGTGACAAAAACGGGCGTCGCGCGGTGATTCCCATAGCAACAGCCCAAGACGCTGTGACGTGGGCCTATGCGAAGCCGCCACGTCACCACAGCGTTCTCGCAAGTTGCTATGGAAACTGCGCAGTGCTGGCACCCGCTTTTGTCGCTCATGTGTTCCTTGCCTTACAGAGCCTGTATTACCGAGAGTGTCCAACTGCTCGATCGGGGTCACGTGGTTTATGGGCAGCGTTTGTAATATGAGCCTCGATCGTCTGTGAGCGTCTCCGCCTTTCCGCCTGCTTTCCTCTTCGCCAAGTTCCGGAGATAGGGGAAGCCACACCCTCCAACTCTGCATTTCTTTTCTTTATTTCCCATAACCCGTCCCGCCTTCATACCCTTCTCACAATAACGGTGTTTCTTACAACAACAGCCTCCTCGCCACGCGACAACTCAGCGCATACCCACAGCTAGGCGACCAATGAGCGCGGGAGGCGTCCGCCATTTTATTGAAAACGCTCATTATGGTTTGAAGTAGACCCTCTCTACAATCTAGGCCTCTACTGCGCATATGTCGACGCGCTTCCAGATCTTGTTGGAGCGCGGTGCTCACACTTTGTGTGGGAAAACGCGGGCTTCTTTGTAAGCAGCGTGTTTGTATATAGCTTCAGGGCTATGAACAGGAGGCGCCTCGGTGGATGGATGGATGGATGGATGGATGGGTCGATGGTGCTCAACCCTTTGAATTGAGCAACGACTTGCACCACCTAGCCAGTGTCTTCTTTTTTTCTTAACATTTCTTTAACATAGGTGTGTATATCTGGAGATGTATTCTTAAAAACTGTATACGACCCGTAGTACGGGGGCACCTCTACGCAACCTGAACCGGGTGCCCACGTTTTCCCGTCCTACGGTTCGACCGGAAGGGAACAAGACAATTTTCATCGGGGTCCCTCGACCTATGCCACCAGTCAGATTGGCTGCTAGTCAGCGCCGCTTGGTGGCCAAAGTGTTCAACTTAGGGAAGGCCTAGCCACCCATTCAGTGGACACGAGCACCGCGCCAGAGGTCGACAGGGCACTCGGAAATTTCAGCTCGAGATCGGGTCCAATGTTTGCCGCCTCCGGCCCTTTTCAGAGTTGCGAATATCCGGCATAAGAGGCGCTACCTGTTGAAATAAGCATCGTTGCTCTTTGAATATAAAACCCATTCACACTTTTGCATTCGCTTACGATTGCAGTTCTTGTGATCTCTTGCGACAAGAGAACGCACTTGCACGCTTGCGCCACCTATGAGGCCTTCCTGGAACTGCATTTTCCTAGATGAATATTTTATAGTATTTACGAGAACAAATGTACGTACTATCCGTGAAAAATTGTCGTTTATAACGTTGTTAAACGTTTTTTAAGCAAGGAAGGAATGAGTGATGAGCGGAAAAAAACACGAAAACATCCGAAGACTTCACGTGTTCCTCAGATACCCGATAGATGGCGCCAGTGTGTTCTCTCGTCGTAAGAGATTTTAAGAGGTTTCAAGACACACGGTTGTCAGCAGTCGCAAGTGTGTGAACTAGCCTATAAGCGGAATGTAAGGAGAGAAAAAACACACGCCGTAAACAGGTCAGTCGGCCGAGGCGCTTTGCAGGCACCATCGTGATAATTATAATATCGAGAACAATTTAGCGTCTCAGAAGACAAATATGTCACCGTTCCTCCGGTAGGTTGACCACTCCATCAAGCGTTGGGGGCTCGAGGACTGTCAGAAGACGAGAACTGCTTTCCTCTCCGGCGGTCAACGGAAAAGGCTGGCCATATCCCAAGAGCTCATCAGCAACCCCCCTGTGATATTTGTGGATGAACCAACCAGGTGATAACCGTAGAGACGCATTTACGCATTACGATCTCTTTATTGAACGAGCGCAAACAGTCACTCAACTGAATCTTTTTTAATTATTTTTTCTCCGAACGGCAGTTCGCATCGCACTGAACACTAGAAGGTGTACATTCATTCATTCATTCATTCATTCATTCATTCATTCAAAAATGTGTTTACATTTTCTTAGGATGGATGCTTGGGCGAGTTGGTGAACCATACTTGACGGTGACAGTGTGAGATTGGTTTTCCCTGCGCTGTCACCATCAAGTAATTTTTTTTATTTATTTTTGTTTTGAAATACTGTCAACCTTAATGTGTCATTACATGATATAGCATTTTTAATATCTTATTGACCTAAAAATGAAACAGTAGCCTTGAAAATAGAACAACTCACGCCCTTCTATTGACATAAAACAGAAATCTAAAATAACACTGGCATCTGCAGTCTCAAAATAGCACCGAATAACGCTGAGAAGAAATACGGAAATAAGGTTTTCTTAGAAAATGGTTTTGACATAACGCTATTAAAAAAGTATAACAGTAAGTTATACTAGCGCTCCAATCTATAACAAATTATTGTGAGGGAATCTGAAATAAGAAAATCTTGGGAAAGAAGGTTCCCCCATCTCTTGTTATAAGAAAGAGTGAAAAACTAAACACATTAGTTCTACTTTGGAACCGTTTGATCATTTTGTTTTGTTTTGTTTTATTTTTATTTTAAGTCACCGACCAACAGTTTAACGCATCCTAATGGTGCACTTATCAATAGTCAATTAGTGGTAAAATTTAGACACGATAAAAACGAAATGTTAAGACAAAACAATAGTCTCAACACCCTTTCGAAATTTACGCTCTTCATCAAAAAATATTAAGACTAAGATTCCCCCAAATCTGTTCTAAATGGATATATGTGAGTTGTAGGCGTGTCAAGGGTGAAGCATGGTAAAATATGGTAAGGTAAAACAAAATATGAAATGTACTAGACCTACGAGAAACGTGCAAGTAGATGTGACTGAGTAGCTCTGGTGAATCAATCATACCATTTACAATCTGATACAAATATGTCAGTCCACGAATTGTTCTCCTGTTGTGCAACGAGTCTAACTTCTCGAGTTCAGAAATCCTCTCATTACTATAGAAATAATTTGGTTGAAAATAATAACGATCAAACAATACACGAACGAATCTACATTGAACACTCTCAATTGACCTTTTTCAGAGATCGCTGGGCGCATGCGCCGACTCTGAGAGAGAAGAGGAAAGGGAAAGGCGCCATTTTTGGTGGCTCTCTCGTCCGCTCGGTCGCTCAGACAGTGCTGGTTAGGCTTGACTCCTCCGCTATTCTCGCGGCTTGGCTTCATAGTCGTCGCGCCTCACCACCGCGCAGCTGTAGGTTGTCCAAATAACAGCAAAAATGGTTCAAATGCAAGGCTTTATAGAGTTTCAGCAGCCTTTTACGGATGGTTCACGAAAGCACTCGATGTCAAACACCCCGCCCTTTTTGCTCTGCTTTCAAAAGCCTATGACGCGAATCCCCCGTGTCAGGTGGCCGGGTCATCAATGTGACGGCGGGTCATTCTGCTTTTAACTAAAAGACAGTAAATGTGAACATGATGGTAAACCGGAAACTGGGGTAGGAGAACGAAAACGCAAAAGAAGACAAAAAAAATAACAGGGAACGTCTCTTGAGACGTTGCCGGTTTTTCCTTTGCGTTTTCCATTTCCTGCTCCAGTCTCAGGTTTAATAATTGAAAACGGGCGAGTTGGTGAATAGATACGGATACATGGAAGGATAAAAATTGAAGGAAACGGGACTTCTTCAAAGAAGTCCTCTTTCCGTCCCTGTCCTCGATGTTTTATCCTTTCATGTATTCGTATATCAAGTTTACCATCATGTTCAACTTACACCAGCTCGCCTACACTCTGACTATTTTTCCGTTAATAGTAAATATGCACGCGAGGTTGTGCGACGTAAGCATGCCGTACAAGGTACTCAAGTAAAGAATAACAGGATAAAGCTTTTCGTCCTTGAGGCGTGCGCTATACACATTCGCGTCTTGCCACGTTAAAAGAGCAGAAAAACATGAAAAAATATCAGTCACTGGCAAAGCATTTAAAGCGTGCGAAACAAATTTAAGTCTTACAGAAACAGAACCCTGGTGGAATGCCTTGGCAACCAACTGCGAACTCCCCTGTTTGCTGGGCTCACTTTGTCAAACGTTCGCAATGTACCGAATTTAAATAGGGATTGTTTCTAACATACCGTTCCTTAATTTTGACGGTGCAGGCAAGCCCTCGCGATATCAAGACCGCCCGGATTTCACACCTTCCAAGTTTGTTTACACAATCCCCCCGTGCGTTCGCGCGGTACACAGGACGGCGAAGTGACGAACGCAATAAGCTTGAATAACAACCGATCAAGGAGAAAAATCAGCTGTTTGTAGTGGCCGAGTTTTATAAACGGAACTCACAAGCTCCGCACAGGGTGGATGGTTGGGTCGGTATCGAAACTGTTCACTATTACCTTCCTTACATAACACTGCGACTCTGCCTTGAAAACAGACCCCTTTTTTAGCTGCTTGTAAGACGCGACACCTAAGTGACGATTAACTGACCCCGAGTCGATGATAAGAACGATGCAGCGTCGGCGGTATGTCCATCCTTGAAGATATAAAAACGAACGAGGTCCTCAGTATCGTAGACAGCGGCTTTTATTAATTTTCCAGTGTCGTCCTCAGCCATTTCGAAGAAAATATGAACGCGAAACGACGACGGAAAGACATTTTCAGAATGGTGAAAGACGGAACAACGCCACCAGAGAACACACGTAAACAAACACATGGACCGGGAGATACGCCACCCCTGCCGCGGACGGCGGAGAGACGGTCCCGGAGCCACCAAAAGTGTTTCGAGCGATTCCCGCGAGGGCGCGCCACGATCGTGACCAAACTATGAAAAAGGTCAATTGCACCTGTATTTGTCATTCCAATACAGTTCCAGACAAATGAGTCATATTCGACACGACTACGCCCCAGTCAAGAAAACAAACGTAGAATGCAATGTGGGTTAGAAAAACCGCGTGTCACTCGTGTAATGGCTCCCAGCACTCTAAAGGAAGCATTCGCAATTGTAGTCACGTGATTATTGAAATTAATTGCAGGATCTATAAAAACGCCTATATCAAGGATGACCTCAACGCGAGTAATATCGGTGGAATCTAATACACAGGAAAAACGCAAATACAATACATAGTGAAAATTTTTGGAATGGCATAATGTTCAGAGTACCGGTTTATCCCGGTATAGAATACTTTTTGATGCGATCGGTGTCAAAAAGTTCGTCACATCTTAAAACCGAACTTTAGTCGAGCATTCGTACGTCAATCGGAACAGAGCGCAAGGCCGATTTGCTTCAACAGCACTAACACTATCCGTTTGTTTATATTTATCGAGTATGTGAAGTATCTTTAACTGCAAGTCACTCTACCCTTTCTCAATTTTAAATTATGTATGTGCGTGCATGCGTGCATCCTTGCGCGAGTTGGCAGAGAACGTGCTCAGTTTTCCCGCGGGGCACCGGGTTCAAAACGCGCTGGTAGAGCATCGCATTTGATTGTTCGTCGTCTTTCGGGAAGTTTCTATTTTATTTCTGATAGGTATGGCGCGCTCTGGTTTAGAAGCTTCCTGAACATAAAACGTGCATAAAAGCAGCCGTAGCAACCGGGGAGGTAGTGCTGAAGCTTCTGGAGACGACATGACGCCTCCAGAGATGAAGCCGGCGGAGACTTCCGGTTTGGAGGGACACGCACCCTACGGTGACCAAAACGAACAAAACCAAAAGACGGCATTGAACAAAAGAAGACCCCTGGGCACATTTGGGGGCGTTCCGACCGACTTCAACCTCTACTTCCGGCTTCACTTGGGACCTTCTCGTTTGGCTGACTTGAGCCTGTATGTCGCCTCCTCTTTTTCCTACCTCTATGCCTAGCGCGCTGCATTCGTCAGTCTGCCTTCTGTCACCGTCGCCGAACGTATCAGACCCTTTCCGAAATTCAGTGCCATCTGGTGGTTCGTAAAGCAGTTTAGGTTTTGCCATATCAATGGCGGAAAAGAACTTGTATCGGCACCGTCACTTTTGCAAGTCTACGGCACGCGAGGAATTGTTTAGCGTGAGTTCTTTCTCGATCACTGTCACTTTGATGGTGACCAAGAACCTGCATTCAGAACAAAGTTCGAACCCACTCAGATGCCTCTAGGAAATTCTATACACCAAAGTGATTTAAAGCCGATTGTGTGCCGCCCGCAGATTGACTGAATCTGAGTTACTAGAAATAACCGCTTACGTAGCTCTTGTGTTACATTACTTCGTCGCGTCGTACAACCCCCCAGAATGTACAGGCCTCGCATCATCCACTTAGGAGCATCTTCAACGTCCTCCTTTATTAGTCACTAGAAGGCCGCCATTGGTATGGCACAAATGCCGTTCCACAGATGATGATAGTGATCAAGGTGACCAGATTGAATTTCGGAATGGGCCTATTGTGATTCCTTTGGCGTTAAAGATCCCTGGAGAATGGGAACAAGCATCTTCCCTTCTCCAAGGATCTCCAAACACTTAGCTGCGTTTGGAAGTTTGTGTTTGTCCTTTTTCCACCTTGTCCGGGGATTTTCTTCGTCATTCTTGTCCAGTTGGCTTGCACCTTTGCATTAATCGCGTTATCATCGTGATTCATTTTTTTTTTTTAATTTCAGGCCCAATTTCGCTTAAATAAACACTTCTTTTCAGTTTCTTACTCATCTGATTTTTTTTTCACAGAATGTGTTTTATCTGCAAAATTGTATTGAGTTATTCTTGTAACAGCCGGTTATACCAAAAGACCGACACCGCGAAAAGCGTCACGCCCAGAGGGAACCATATAAAAAAGAAAATCCATTGGTAGATCCTCAAGGAATCTGTTAGCATGACCCTTGAAAAACGCCACACACGACCCCCTTCGGGGAACGCTAACGCTAACTCGTTCACTTTTCTGTTTTGGCTTTCTCTTTTGCTTCCTCTATTTTTCGCTGCCTTTTTTGGGGGCTTCTCTACGGGGTGGGGTCCCTCTTGGCCTTTCTCAAAGGGCGTTTTCCAACGGTCATGCTACCACAATGGATATTCCTTTAATATTTTGCCGTCCACTTGGACAATCGGTAATGCCTGGTTCACACTCTATTTTGTAGGACAAACGAAGGAATAAGCGCTCCGAACACCTGCAAGTTCAGACTCGCCCCAGCATCCACGCGCTCATTGGCTTCCGCCCTGTGACGTCGCCTCCCTCTCATTTTTGTCCTTCACTTCTCTCCTCCTCTCTACGCTGCGCGGTTCCATTTCCACTGTTTTGTCCACAGGCAGACGCCGTCAGCTTCTCCCTGTCATGTGGGTACTAACGCTAACGCATTAAAAAACTTCAGTCCCCCGGCAGGATTTGAAGTTGACGACCTCATCACCTTGTGATTGTCAGCCAAGTGCTTTGCCGAGTAAGCTATCCAGGGTCGACGGTACGACCCACACAAAAGCGAGGTCATTCGCGCAGCGCGTCAGGGACCTCGCGCGCTTCGCGACCTTTCCTGTCATGCAGCGTCATTTCATGGCGTGTGTCAGGAATGAAAGTAAATCTTCAGGAGGTGGTGCCGTTCCAGACGTCCTTCTCTTCTTCCCTGGAAGGCCTGGTACACATTCTCTGCTTACCACTTTTTGTCGGCATTATCAAGTTTTTTTATTCGTGGTAGTATCACGTTTGCGTATTCTGGTACAGTTCGTATAACTGTATAACTCTCTCCAATTGTTACGTCTAGCTATTTATAGCTATTTACTTTTTTTTATGGATTATAGACATTGTACACATACAAACACGTGCACATACGATTTGTTTCTGTATTAATTATTATTTCTCATTCTTTGCACCAAGATTCGATTTTCTGCCGTGCGCATTGTATTCTATTCTGATCACTAAGAGCTTTCACATTTATGTAATAAGACAGTCGTCTGCAAATGATTTCACTGTGATATAATTGTCGATGACTTAGGATTTGTAATGTGTATCTATATATTAAAAATAGACGGGCCCCAAAACAAAGCCTTGTTTATCTTCTGATAACACTGGTAAAACCTTAGACACTGCGCCATTAACTTCAACTAAACGCTTTTTTTAAGGTATGCTTTTTACTTTGTTAACAAATTTTAACGAACTCCAAACATCCAACTTCTATGTATGAAACTAAAATGTGGAACACTTTCAGAAGCGCTGGACATATATGTAAGAAAATAATGCGTGCGTTTGTTCTCCCGTATTAATGCGTTTCTAGAAAAGCGCGAGTACATTCACTTCATTGCGTGGCTGCTGGAAGTATTCATCTAAGACCATGTTGGTTCCCGTAGAGAAGGTTGTTATTTTTTTTTTAAGTAATACAAGGATTTTGATACCAGGTGCACCATTATTTTACTACTTGCGTATGTGAGGGATATGGGTCTGTAAATGGTTGCGTGTGATTTATTGCGAGCTTTAAGAATAGGCACGACCTTGGTGCACCGCCAGCCAGGCACAATGACTCATCTTGTGTTTACGTTGTGCATCGTTCTTCCAGTGGCCTAGACAGCATGTCTTCTCTCCGCTGCGTAACTGTGATGAAATCTCTGGCGGCTGCGGGGCACACCGTTCTCTGTTCCATTCATAATCCAAGCGCGAAACTCTTCTCCTATTTTGATGGGGTAAGTTGTTAGCTCAGCACCGTTATAGCACTCTATTAAAAACAAAACCCCGCAAGATTATGTTTTACAATTATTTGGCAGTTGATATACTTTATAAATGCAGTTTAGTAAACAAGATATACCCCATTACATCTTGCTTACATATACACTTGCTAATTGTGGATAGGCCATATATTCTTACAAACAGTTGTAAATACTGTAATAAAAAAATGTTTATATTTTTAATCGCTGAATTTTTGTGGATGTTTAGTATTTTCAGAAGCTCTTGCATGTAGTCTGCTCTGAATCAAAAGTATACATAAGCAGAAAAAAAAAAAAGAAATGGGAGCCTGCGTGTTACGAGGTTACACGGTCACCAAAGTGACAAAATTTAATGAAAAAGTGAAAAGATGTTTGTTTGTTTGTTTACTTTGAGGTGTCGGGAAAGGAGGAAACCAGGAGATGTGTGGGCCTCAATTAACGGGCAAGTCGCTACCAGGTTGTTGGGGAAAAAAGTAAAAAGACGTTTATTTAGATCATGGAAACCAAGTGCTTGTTGTGCCTATCGGGAGATGGCGCCACAAGTCCGACTGTCGAGCGAATCAGCCGTCTGTGGCGGAAGCGTGTTTAGAAATATCAAGGGTGTTCTAACTTTCTCGCGGGAACCGGAGATCTGCTCCTAAGATAGATATGTTGGTTAAACGCCTCAGCTCATTACAAGCAGGCGCTGATATTGTCGGCTAAGTTTGCATCGAACCGCTCCACTCAAAACACCCTATATACACTGCCTCGCTATGCACTCAAACGACAGCTTAGTGGCTTCAATCAGCTTTGTCAATGGTAAGGAAGAATGGTACAAACACTACTTCAAGCAGCCTCAGTGGCAGAAAGGCGTCCACCCCTTTTGCTCTTGGGCTGTACTATCGTAAAAGTAAAATTGGTTGAACTGATTAAAGAAAGACCAACAATCGGTGTTCCGAGGGCATTACGGGGCTTCTGAGGACGCAGTGATCATGTGTATTGAACGCTGCTGTTCGATCTTCCAGTTGTACATGATCTCGGAAGGTATGTGCATCTACAACGGCCCCATCGACAAGCTGTTGCTGTTTCTAAACGCACAGAACCTTCACTGTCCGATTCACCACAACCCTGCGGATTTCAGTAAGTATAAAACGTATGTGTATATCAATACTGAAAATAATTAAACTATCAGCATCATTAGAACAATGTAGGAAAAAAAGAAGAAGAAGGCTACTTTGTTACATATATAAGCACTCAGTTCTTGTTGTCTACTTACGTTCAGAAGTGTTTGTGTTCAATTTTAAAACGTAAAAAAAAAAAAAAAAAAGCTTTGAAAGTAAATTGGTTTTTATTTGCATCTTTTCTCGTTTTTTTCTATACACGTATCTTATAGTTCAGGTAACACAGAGGCACATAGAAAATAAAACAACTAACTTTAAGACATCTTCCCAGTTAGCGTTTTCAATGTTACTCATATGCTTCAGTAAAGAGCAGAGCACCAAAGTTCTTTTTTAGATTACAAAAAGCATTTTTATAGGTTTTATTATTCACTTTTCTTCAATTCTCAAACTTCATTTATTACTTGGTCTCTGACCATTCTTTATAGTGCTTGATTCGCTCTAAATGTCAAGCCTATCAACGACTCAGAGGGAGCAAGGTGAAACAAATACTGTAAAGGTACAACTCAGGGAAATAGAAATTAACCCCTTTCGAAGCCTCAAATGTGCATTCAAAAGTTGTGCTTAATAACACTAATTCATCAATTTAGCTGTGTGTGTTTCTTTTTCTTTTTTTTTCTTTTTTTTTTGCACTGCAGGTGTATATAAGCGAAATTTTGTGCAGGTTTCAAAGTGACAATCGACGTCTTTCTAAGACACTTAGCTTCTTCAGGGCTCAGCTTTTCCTTTGGCCTTGATGAAGCTTCCTCTTTGCCAAACGCCGGTCAGCTTTTACACCCATAGAGTTAATGTAATAATTTTAGAGAAACAAATCCGCCATGTTCACGTGCATTTCGGCCACCTCGGAAGGTCGGAGCAGAGACTCAGACATGCATCGGTGGTCCTAGGGCAACCAGATCGCTGGCGATGGTCACCCTAGGATCTAGGGCGACCAGATCGCATGAGTCAACACAAAAAAGTTGCAAAATATCACTTGAAACTGTAGCACCCGGCCTTTTGAGCCATCAAGCGTTATACTTATGTACGAGTATAAAGGACTACAAGTGGACAAGCAATTGCTCTACTTAGCGCGTCACGGCGGGGTGAACACGCCTAACGCATCGTCTGCTCCTTCTTCCCGTTTTTGTGTCACCTTCCAACCCTTTATTTTTCATGGCTTACCACCATGTCATTGCGTACGATTTGCCGCCCTCCACTCTTGTCTTTAGCGCCCCTGGTCACATTGGTTTTACAGGGGTTCCTTTTGAACTTCTTTCCACCGGTATCGACGGCCCCTAAGTTTATCTGTCAAAGAATATAAAGGAAATTTGGCACGGAGTTAACATAAACAAAACGACACGCCATATTTTTTTTTTTTTTTTAAGTAGATTTCACGGTTTACAGCAATGGACTTGCGTTGCGCCTACTTTCTCCTTGACCTATAGGCTCGAAAATCAGTGTGGACGAACTCTACTTTCTATACAGTCACCGAAATAGCGGCGGGTGAATATGGAGACGTCTGCAAACGGCTGGCGAAGTCGTTCAGCCCCGAGCACTCAGGGAGCGACAACAAGGTGCTGTATCATCATCCTCTTCTTTCCAAGTACGGCGGGAACATCATGACCAAAGAGGTGTGAAATTCTTTTTTTATCTCTCCAACTTTGCCTATGACACTCTGCGTCTGATACACTATACTTTCACTTTTTTTTTCTTATTTTATCTTACAATTTTTGCTGTGCCACCTGCTATGCGGAGAGAAACTAAAGGCGAGGAGGAACTGAGAGTGTGCTGCGACGTATGAGTACCGAGCTCTAACTGAAAGGATAGTGGGTAAACGCAAAGGCTACCTGCCTTTGCCTCTAAGGACCGTCTCACTCTAATCAGAAGAATAAAAAGCATCGTGTTTAGCTCCTCCCCTTTTTCAGTTTATCGATTAGAAAGCCCCTATAGATTGCCCGGCCTAAGCATAAGCCTGTTATCCCTTGTGCAGTCTGTTGCAACATGAGAGATTGGAAACTAGAGAAAGGGCACTGTCACCGAATTCCCTGAGAGAAAAACCGCCACTACGTCGCTCACAACGACATTCACGAACCATTTTTGCTGACGTGACGGACTGGAGGAGAATTTGTAACCGCCCCCTTGTCAAGATTGGCGTCTATAAAAACAAAGCTCTGCCTGATGCCCCGTGTACCTCGGAGCACTGGGCATTGAGCAGAGCATCCTTGTTGATAGAGCGTCTTCTGCAGTTCTAATATGGCAATAGGCTATCGTTACTTGACCTGACCGCAGTATGCCACAACATCGTTGAAGGCCTCGTGCTGAAGGCAGGACAACTAAAAAAGCTTTCTTAGAGTCCTTCATTTTGTAGCGAGACTTGGTAAGCAAGTATGATTGTTGTCGACAAGACGGGTTTGACTATTCCATAGGAAAAATCTGAAGAACTGAAGCTTCACAAGGTTACAGTGCACTTCTGGCATCAGTTTATGGTGCTGACACGCAGGTGTTTTCTATGCGTCATCAGAAACAAGGTGATGTATACTATTCTTGTTTGGTTTTACCTTGTCCCTACTTTAATCTATCAAAGAGACGACTATACGACGTGCAAGTTCGTGCGCCTTTTGCGCAACACGTGCGTTTGTTTACCCTCCAGATAAACCCATGTGCTTTTGCCCCCCCCCCCCCCCCCCCCCCGGCTTTAACCAAGGATGCCGCACGCTTGGCTGCCTTGTCATCGCGCGTTCCCTGACGTGCTTTATGTTGATCTTTGATTGCCGTGCCCCTCCTTGCGTTCTGATGCGCCAGGTACACATTTTTGAGCATGCTTGCCGAGCTTGAACGATATCGTCAACTAGGCAGTTAGTGAATGGAGAGAACACGGATATGCACGCACCGTGTCGTTCACGTGTCTGTTGAAAACAAATTTCCGTATAGTCGCCGACATATCAAGAAACGCAGGGCGTGGTTTATTACCTTCACGCTTCTTGCTTGTGATTCGTTCTTCGGCGTCCTGATCGGCTAATGCTGCGATCTCATTGGCTGCACAGCGATAATAAGATGTGCGTGCTTTGCTACGCCTTGTATTTCTTAAGCTTTCCGGTTGTATGTATGTATAAATATATATTATTATTGCCATTCACAATGGACATATATTACTAAATTCCCCAGCAACAAGGGGCGTACTGAGGATGTAGATACACGTACCGCACGCGCTTGCCTTTTCAGTAAAAACGATTCGAAGTAAATACCCAAAGTAAAGTGCTGTGGAACACGCGTGCAAGATTTCATTTTTTTGTGCGTTTTCTTTAGAACAGTTACTGTTGTAGACGCCAGCGAGTGCAGCGCGTGTAACTACACTCGCAGATGCTCTTTCGTGCTTGGGTAATTTAGAAAAATCTCTATTCAAATGTTTTGAAAAATGTTCCTCGGCGCCTATCGGCATTGGCGGAACGTCCCTAATTTTTTGGGACGGAGCCTTTTTACAGTTCATATGCCAGAACAGTATAATTAATTTTGCATTAGACCCCTTCCGAAGTTCAGCCTGGCCACTTCAATAGCTTTCATCACCTTAGAGTGTATCATCTGAACATGCTAATGGCGACCTTTTGATGTCTGGTGAAGGAAGAATGGACCCTTCCGGAAAATCCCAGGAGACTTTGCATCGAGGGGAATTGTGGGACTGTTCGGATGTATGTACACTCGTGCCGGTTCGAGTGATTCGTGCATCCTGGTAGCGGCACGATTCATTCTTTGTTATGACTAAAAGCTCGGAACAAAAAAAAATAATAAAGTGAACGGAAAAGAAGGTTTTTGCATACTCCCTTTTGCTCTCTTTCTGTCTTCCCTGCGTCATGAAAGGCCTCAGAATGCTCCGCTTCGGCTCGCCCCAGACAACTAATGACAATAAGATGTTAATTTTATCAAGAGGTTTACTCAAATTTAAGCGCCTCGTACAGAGTGATAGTTTCTTGACACCATCGAAACTGTAGCAAATAGAGTAATAAGTGTTCAGGGGAAAACACCGTAACTTTCGTACGTCTACAGTTGATGAATAGGTACCAGATTTTATCCGCCATGAGCACACAACAATTCTGTCTGGTATTTCAGCCTAATGCCCCTTCATGTTTCAAAAGTAGCGCAAGGTGGGTCGATGCACGAGGCACGTGCAACGTGCAGCCCTTGGGAAGATTATGGTGGCACCAAGCAGCTCTGAGCTAGATTTCAAACGCCATATGTTCTTCCAGAAGGGGCGCGCGGCGCGTGTCTCGAACGTTACCACAACAATGAATAGCGCCAGTTTTATCAGAATAAAGGGCTTTATTTCAGCCACTAGATGGGTCTGAATTTGTGATAGGGTCTACTGACCCTTTCACAACTGAAATAACAGTACACTTCGCTGAAATAGCAGTACAATCCGCCATAAATTAGGGATTTGAGACGTCACATGTAATGTCGCAACGCAGAAAGCAGTTCTGCATAAAAAGATTATGTCTGACTCTTCAATAATAAGATATTGAAAGATATCGCGACTACAGTCGAGGCTGGTTTAACGGAGCAATTTTCGCTGCCACTCTGAGCCGCCCAGAAAGCCTGTGTTTATGAAAGCACAATCGGGGCTCTTCGAGAGAGCGGGCTTGTGACCCTCATCATATGCGGTGCGATTTACTGTTACTTGATATAATATATCGGGTTTTTTATTGATCCTAGGAATGTAGAATTAGAACTCCAACTTCCAGTAGCTCGCACAAGTACGCTCATGCAGCTCTGCAGTTTGTGTTCTCCGCGACACTGCTAACGTCAACAAGCCGTCGCTGGTTTTCTTTGTATTTCTCTCAGTATAGGACTATCATCAAGACTTCTATAGTCGTGGAAAGTGCTCAGCTTGGGTATTATTCTAAGTGGTATATTTTGATGCCCGCCACTACTTTTTAGAAGCAAAATGCAAAAAAGTGCCAAAGTAATATTCGCACTAACAATGTTGCGCAGTGTACAGCCCCCCCCCCCCCCCTCTTACTCTCCCTTTTCATTTCTTGGCTCGTAGTGTTACCTGCTTAACTTGACGGTTTTCGTGTATAGATATCATGTATGGTGTGTAGTTATAGTACGTCCTTGGCGCGTCTTGACCAGCTGCATCGAGGCGACGTTTAACGGACAACCTTTACATCTTTTAGATAGCATCTCAGCTTCGCTTCATAGCGTACGCAATCTTCGCCATTATGCTGACGATGTTGTACTACGACGTCGGCAATCAAGCAACGCGGGTCATGAACAATGCGTCCATGTTCCTGCTCGCCCTCTCCATAATCCTCTTCCAGTCCGTCATGCCGACGGTACTCATATGTAAGTTTGTTTCAAACTTCCTGCCGCTAGCGGTAACTTATATTCGCATTGGATGGATGGATGAATGAATCTCACCCCTTTCAATCGGGCGGCGGCTGGCGCCACCTAGCCAAAGTTTTTATATCGACAATCTACTAATATCCCTGCCAGTGACGTAATTGTCACCTCCCGGAATTTGCGCGAACCACTCCATAGAGCCGTTCGTTACAAAAGGTGTTGAGTTGCAACGAATATTTCCATAATTAAAAAAAATACCTGAGACTGGGTACAAATGAAAAAGAAAAAAAAAAGGACAAGCAAACACACCGTTTCAAAACGCAGTCGCGTTTTGAGACGGTGTGTGTGCTTGTCAGTTTTTCTTTTCTTTTACTTATTTGTTCTTAGTCTTGGGTTCTTCGTTGTAAAGTTTGGTTTATCGCTTGCCTGTTTTTTTTTTCGCTCTCATCGACATGTATGTCACTTGACTTTCTCTGCTAAGGACGTCACGTTGACTACCGAGAAAAAAAATACATGACTGGTCAACGTTATTCTATATCTGGATGCTTGCACCGCATTGTAACCAACACAGTATACTCCTTTACAAAAGACACAGAGTTACGTCGGCGAGGGGACGTTCGTTACGAATGCGTCCGGATTCGTATATACAGTACTTTGAGTTCGTACGCAGCAAACTGCTGGACCAGCTTAAAACTCCTCCTAATTTTTTCTAGTTTTTTTTTATTTGTTAACATAATGGCGTTCCTTTGCACTGGACGTATCGTGACTCGTGTCGCGTCTTTAATTTGCTGGAAATATGAGACCAATCGTAAAAACTGCAGTCTGGAACACGCCCTTTGCATACAAAGTAGGGAGGCGAAAACGATGCGTTGGATCAACAACAACGCCTTCTATTGTAACTTTAAAGTCACTGGAAAGCGATTATTTTTCATGCAAGTCTTCACTTGACATTGTGCCAACTGAAAGCGTCGTGTGCCGTAACTTTCAATCTGAGTTCCGATATATATATATATTTTTTTTTTCAGTTCCCACAGAAATGAGCGTCTTATTACGGGAGCATCGAAACTGCTGGTACAGCCCGGGAATGTACTACATAGCCAGGCTCTTGACGGAACTGCCTTTTATGGTAACGTCCTTCGTGCTATTTCTTTTTCATCTGTCTATGGATTGAGATCGCCTTGTTAAAAAAAAAAAAAAAGAAGGAAGAACACTGTTAGAACTTAGAGAAAGATGGTGTCTCTTTTCTGTAAACAATATGTAGCTTGATTTCTTGCGTTTAATATGAACATGTATTCAGGTTAGATGAATAGAGGTGTGTGAAAGTGAACGTAAATTAAAATTTGTTGGTAGAAAACGCCGTAATTTACCTCAGCAAAAGCAGTGTGATTTATTATTCTTTTTATTTTGTATTATCGACAGTTAAAGGGACGGTGCAACGATATTCATTTGGACTGTTTTTCGCTTCACACGAGCTTACTGACGTTAGTGGGACGCAAGTATACTCGCATGCAACGCAACTGACCAAGAAACCCCGTTGTTGTGGTGTAGTTTCAGGAATGAACGCGCCCGCTTCCTTTCAACCTCTCCGCAAAACACCTTGGAGGTTGCAGTTTCCACCAGTGACTATATTTTGTATTTATTTTTTATTTGTGTCGCGGATGATCCTGCTGAAGGGACAGAGAAAGAAGCATGGTGCCTTTTTTGCAGCCCCCTCAGGCGCTCGTAGATGTGACCCGATAATTAAGTGAGCTCTCGATTTGGACTCGCATAATCAATAGCTCGACAAGCCTCCGTGTAGTGGATCGTGCCCAATCGCTTCAACGTCGGCAGTAGTCGAACCCTAGCAATGTCTGAAACTCAGCCCGTGTCCTGGGCTGGGCCAACCCCAGCGCGTTTCTGCGATAAACTTTAACGGCATATAATCGGCTTCTGATCACGTGGACGCTTGTTCTGACTGAAAATTACAAACAAACAAAACGCTGTTTTTTTGTGTTTTATTTTTTTGCAGTTATATTTATATTTTGAGAAACACTGACGGGTTTTTCATAGGTTATAAACGTCGGCGATTCATTTTAATTGGTATCTACGCAAAGTACAAAATCGTTGCACCGCTTCTTTAAACAACTGGAGAACTAGCTAACGGTCCTGAACCTTCGCCTTCCACATTATACGTCCTGGCTCCCTGGCTCACCTTCTTCCAGCATAGTGATGAATAAAAAAAAAAGGGTATTAGGTGCGGTTGTACGTGAAAGTCTAGATAACAAAAAATGCTTTCGTCACAGAAACACGTTTGTTCCCAGTGGCAAAATTAAAAGGACAGAATAGCCTTCTACCAAAGTACTTGAGATTGAAAAAAATGAACATTGTTCCATTTTCGCTAGGAATTTCGTTGGCCTCCGTTGCCGCCTGAGACGCTGCAAACTCGCTGGCTCTAAAGCGAGCTATAGTAAAAAAAGGCGACCGCCGTATCCGCCTTCGCCCCTGCGTCAACACCGGGATTGTGGCACTGCCCAGAATTTTAGTCCTGACGTCATCAGTCGGAAATTTAAAGCTGCCGTCACACTGTTCGAGCATCATAAAAAAGACGCAGTTGCAGATGATGCTGATGATGACATAAATATCTGAGGACACGCGCCTCCCGCATGTTTCAAACATGTTTGCTTCACACATATGAATGCTTCGAACATGGCTGCAGACAGTCTGCCTATGGCTGATGTGGCAGCATCGCCGTACAAGGAAGAAGCACGCATCATTAAATGTTTAGAGACTGTCTTTTGTATGCCGTATTTTAAGGGTCGAAAGAAAGACATCGTGGACACGCCAGTCGGAGACACCCGTTTCGTGCGCCATTGCTTAACGTCGTTTCCGCAGTGGTTATACCCATGTTCTCTGATATGCGATTGATGATATTGTTATTTATTTTTAACTACCAATATATCAATATATCATGTCGACTGCCTTATTTCGGTGAAATTGTCGGGGTCCGGACTCACCCCATGTTTTTACGTCAGTGACAATACCTTTATTTTCGTCTTCACCGTTTTATATGTTGCCTTTCGCTCTCTTTTGCATTACGCGTCGCCGCTGTCTAGGTCTTCGGACCTCTCATCTTGATGGCAGTGTTGTACTGGACCACATCTCAACCGCCCGAGCTTTGGCGGGCTGCAGTCTGCATCTTGTTTGCGATTCAGTCGTGCTCTGTCAGCCAAGGGATTGGCTTGGTTGTGTCTGCTTCTACTAGCATACAGGTGAGACCCTTGGACTCTTCCTAAAATAAACGAGACTGATTCCTATATAAATTACGCTCTATTCTTCCCAAGAGCCATTGTCGGCGGTGTGGGAATATGTTTTGGTTTACACGTTATGACGTTTCTATAGGCCGTGGATAATTCTTCGTCTCGGTCAGGGTATTCTTGCCGAGAAAATAGTTTTCTTTCTTCTGTAATACATCTCGGTAGTATACACCAAACAGCTACGTGAAAATCTATTTCCCTTTTTCCTATAGGGTACCACGTCAAGGCCGGGTGTTGATGTTTTCTGTTTGTTATTTTTGCCATTCGCCATTTACTTTTGGTCGTTTGTAAGATTTCGTCATGTTGCTGTTTTTCGATAGTCAGGTCATTTGGGTTCCTCGTCAGTCTAATTATCATCTATTAAAAAATTTTCTTCCCAATATTAAGTTTACAAAACAAACACCAGTGGTTTGAGAACGGCTTTAGTGAAAGTGTAAAAAATTTTAATAGTACACGTAGCAATCCTGATAGAACATTATACATTTGTGAAAAGAGCACATGCCAACACGTTCGTCTCACTAACAGAATTTTGCTTACGACTGTATGCTCCAGTTGTTTGAAGCATTCCAGTCAAATAACCCTCCAACAACACAATAAGTGACTACTGTTGAAGGTGCACACGAGCTTGTACGTTCACGAAACGTTTGGTTGTAAGCGTTTGAAAATCCATGAATACTCCACGAACTTCTCCCTATACTGTAAACTATGGTCTGGCGTTACTTTGAGTGGCTGTCCTAAATACGATTTCTCTCAATTATTTGTATTCTGTTTGCTGCGGCGGATTTGAACGTACTACAAGGATTTCACGACTGGTGTTTGTGAGTATGCCTGAATGGTAATTTTATATACCGTATTTACTCGAGTAATAGCCACACTATTTATGAACAAGGCCCCTGCGTCTACTTTCCCGCATAACACATATACAGCCAATCATCGCGTTCCGCATAAATAATATCGCGAATAACTAGATTGAAAACACGATTCACCATACAAATGCAATCTTCACAGATGTTATCTTCGCGCCAAAACTTTATCTCTGTCCTGTAAACCGCTGGAATCATGCTGTCAAAAGCGCGGACAGGGTGATTGGCAATCCCCCTGTCCGCGGAAAAGCGAACCCTCAAGTTTTCGTCATAAGCAGTGCGGCTATTACTCGAGTAAATACGGAATCACGTGTCTGTCCTGACAGCATAATTACGTTCCATATCGCCATTTAGTATACGTGGGGAACCGTTGCAATAGAAACCAAAATAGACCTATTACAAGATACTCCTTGCCGGATAATCAGATTATTTTCGCATTACCGAGTCCTAGTCGTCGTTGTAAATTTGTAAATTGAGACAAAAAATGCATACCTTTAGGAAGAAGTAATTAAAATATGATCGATGCGATTGATCATTTTTATTTTTTAATAAATCGTGATTTTCTTTTGTTATCGGTCACCAGAGCTGCTTCGGCGTGAACTAGGCTTAGCTCGTATCGAAAACAAGTGATGCGTCCGAGTTTGGCGAAGACTCGGGTCCAATCATACGCTTCTTGCATAAAAAACTGGCAATCGCCAATGGCGCTTGATCGACTTTTGAAAATTGCATATCAGGTTTCACATTTTCACTCACAAAGCAAAACGTTGAGACAAAAACAACAAAAAAATCTTTTATTTTGATTACACACGACACGAGCACTCCGTCAAGTCCAAACAAATTTTCAAAACCAGTTTAAAAGTAAAACATGTACGATATACCGCTTGCCTGAGAATCGGATTCTTTTTATCTTACTAAGTCATAGTCGGCGTTCTAAATTGAGATAAAAATGTGAAAGACGTTTACAACTCCCTGTAACGCCGAATTAGAGCGCAGCTCTTGAAGAGGAGGAGGGAAGGGTACTGAGGAGGTGGTGGTCACGTGACCTCGGGGGGGGGGGGGGGGGGGGGGGGGGGGGAGGTCACGGGACCTCGGGAAGGGGGGGGGGGGGGGTCACGTAACCTCCCCGAGGTCCTCCCGAAGGAACCTGAGGTCCTCCCGAGGTCGTCCCGAGGTTCTTGAGGGGGGAGGGGGCTCGCGGTTACGCCGACGCTGACGGCGACGCCGACGCCGCTCAATCCGGAAACGGGCGCCTAAGAGCTAAGAGCTGCGCTCTGAAACTGCATACCTTTGGGAAAAAAAAAGGATTGGAGTCTGACTGATGCGATCCTTTTCTTTTTTTTAACAAAACTTGATTTTTGTCCCTCTTCTTTGTGTGAAACCATTTTTCCTTGTCTGCAGACAGCGCTGTTCGTGGCCCTGCCCGTGGCGTCGCCCTCGTTCCTCTTCAGCGGCTTCTTCGTCCAGGTGCACCACCTGCACCCGGTGATCGGCTGGATCACGTACACATCGCACCTGTACCACTCGCACCAGGGCATGCTCCAGGCCGTGTACGGTTACGGCAGGGCCGAGCTGGCCTGTGAGGAGGAGACGCTCTGCTTCTTCAGCGAGCCTCGGGAGGCCCTCGCGGAGCTCGGCGCACAGGACGTGGACCTGTGGACCAAAAGCGCCATCCTGCTGGCCATGGACGTTTTCTACAAGCTGACCGCCTTCGTTGTGCTAAAATGGCGCTTGAGGATTAAGCGCTAACGTCCACTCCAATTTGTTTTCCACGGTGTACATAAAACGGCTCGATTATCTCGACTCTCTATTCGCAAGTTTATAAAGTAAAGTTTAATGTTGCGTTTGTGCTCGTCCTACCACGGCAAGACTGGATCCGCGCGCTTCTTTTTCATGTGTGGACAGCCTGTTCCGTCCATAGAGTTATCATAACGTACGCTAGAGATTCAGCTGGTGCTAGTTTGCTGTTGCAAATTTAAGCAGACAGCAAGAATTGGAAAATTGACTTGCATGCCTATGGGAAAAAACGGGTGCATTCTTTCTCGGCACTTGCTTATAAGAGCAAACATTACAAGTAATCCTAGCGTAGTAAATAGCTTGAAACATTTTTCAATCACAGAAATAAAAATATTGGTAAGTCACAGTGTTTCCCTTTTAAATTCATGCCAATTAACGCAAAGCTAAAACAGCTTCATTCATGCATTTATGTGCACTGTTGGACACTGTTAGCGCGAACAGGGCATCGGCGCTTTTCTGCAAGGAGGATATACGTACCAAACGAACGATGAAGTTCTAAAAAAATATAATAAATAAAGACGGCAAGAACTACGCAGCAACACTGGATCAGTAACTCTCTGTGCATGTGGACGATCAAAATAATGTGAAGGCAAAGTGAGGCAAAATGAAGGCATTGTCTGATTTGCAACAAATACGTATTGTTTTTTTTTTTGTTTTTTTTGTTTTTTTCTGCTCATGCATGTGTGCTAAGATAGTTGTTCTATACTGTGAAGCACTCGAAACTTTTAAAATAAGGCGAAGCCAGAGTAGACACCCGATAAAAGCTGCAAGACCTAATAAAGAATGAAAGAGACTCCTTTCATAGCCCAGATATAATTTATTCTTTACGTTTTTTTGGAGTTTTGAACCACTCCTAAGGTTTACCTCGCTCGCAAATGATTTACCTCTCCACCATGAAACGCGATGCTCACGAAGGAATTATGGCTCGAGGAATAGCAAAGGTAAGACGCAAAGTGCGCGAAGTAACTGTGCATCGCAGGCACGTAGCCAGGGTCAGCTAGGGAGGGGGGGGGGGGGGGGGGGGCCATGGGGTCCGGCCCCCCCCCCCCCGAAATTTTCCATTTTTCTGGGGCCTTTTCTCCCCCCTCCCCCTCATACAGCATTTTGTCATGGTCGCCCCCTCCCCCCGAAACAAAATCCTGGCTACGTGCCTGGTGTATCGATTGTCTCCATTTAACATCGCAGTCCTGACGACGAGAAAACTGAGTAACTGCTTTTGAAACGCAAGTTTCTTTACCTGCGGGAAGAAATTGGCTTCGGAACTTAACACAGTTCTCCAAAAACTCGTGTTACGCTCTTATCTACTGCTCCTCTCGTCCCATACAAAAGACGTAGCGTCCTCGTCAAGCCTTATGAAGCTCGATTTGCTCGATTCGGGGCCTCCAAGATGAGATGCAGGCGACGGAGGAACTTTGCGAAGGTTTTTCCCTTTATGGAGGAACGTAGGTTACAAGACCGTTCCTCCCCTTAGGGAGGGCTTTAGATACCTTTTTTTCTAAAAGCGCATCGCTCCGGTGAGAAAGAAAGATGGCATCGAACAATGAGTTTGGTCAGTTTGATGTGCCTGAAAAACGCGGTGGATGCTTAAGTCGCTGCATTTTTAAATCAACAACGTCAAAGTTAACAGTCCGACGCTGCTCCTACTTTCCGTCAATGAAAGAAAAATAAATCCGAATGTCAGACAGACAGCCTTGGCGCTGTTGGTGCAAGAAGGCGATGATTTAGAACTTCCACCATGCTTTTTACACACAACATCAAACTTGTCGTTGGGCGCATGTTATTTTCTCGCCGGAACAATGGGACAATCCCCAACTCTCGGTGGAGTGGCGTAATATACGTGGATTGGCAAACGCAATTACGTCTGCTTCTTTCTGCGCAGAAAACCTCCTTTGTGCGAATATACTGTAATTTGTTGCTGGATGCTTATGCAACGGAATGTTAAATTACCACAAGAAATGCCGGGTGTCTCCGATGTGGGCCAGAAATTTAGCACATCGGTACGATGTTCATCCAGATCGAAACGGGCGGCGGTGTGGATCGAATCGACGATTCCTGAATGCTGATCACAAGCTTTCCCTTTACGTTACTCTCCTTGTGTGTTTAGGTTTGAAACAAAGTGTGCTGTTGAACAAGCGCTTGCCTCGTTCAGAAGTTGAAAGAGCCATGGCCGGGCTAGGGTGCCTTCATGTGCGCTTTGCTTAGGGTGGAGACATCTGGCCATTTTGTTCCCACTTTTACAGTTATTGTTTTGTTCAGAAGCGCGTGAAAGAGCGTGTCCCTGCACGCGTCTGTGGCGGTGACTGTGCTATGGAGACATTTTGTTTTTGTCGATTTCTTTGTATTTTCCTCGTGAGCGCGTGCTGTCGGCATCGGGTACTACAAAGGGTGGCATCGCTCTAAACAGAAGGTCATTGAGGCACCCTAGGCCGGGCTAGAAGTGAGCAGGTGCGATATCTTACGGCCTTTGCACAAAGAGTGCGTTGCTCCCTGCGTCCGCAGCTCGAAAGGGTCGCTGCAACCATACCCTTCCTAAAGCGCTTTAATTTTTTCTGAGAGGCACGTCCACCTGACCGTATTGACCTCTTTGCTGCGGGGCTCAGCTGGAGAAGTTTCTGGAGTAATTAGGCACGCAGGTCACGAGGCTGCCTGACAGCTGGGACATATGCGGAACAACTCTTCCCGTTCGTCTCCTCGTGAAACGAGTTTCTATAGGCAAGCGTTTAATTATCATAAGCCGAATGACAGTCATTTCGGAAAAGAATACTGGCACATATTTTCAATCGCGGTGATCAGGGAACAGTTGTTTATGATGGCTCAGACAGTGTTGGGCAAAGTAGTGTGATTGCACCCCACGCGGCTAAAAAAATGTCATTCTTAGGCGAGAGGGAAGGCAGCAAGAAAAGCCGCTCTCTAGCCCGACCATAGATCAACATGACAAGGCGGCACTGATGACCTTTCTTAGTTTTATTTCCCGACACTTATTGCGAGCTCTTGCAAGTACGAAAGAGGAGCTATATGAAACTTGTTGAGTCGTGGCTTCTCATCCTTAGTTGCAAAGGACAAGAGTCACAGGGGTGTAAGAAGCACAGTAGAAGCCTGAAGTCGTCGCGTTATTAAGCTAACATCGTCAAAGTTGATCGTCTGACATTACTTTTATTTCAATAAGCGAAAGAAAAATTAATCAAAAGAAAGACGATTTAGGAAGGGTTTAGCACATCCTGCAAGGCTATTGGTATCGCACTTCACGGGTCAGGTTTTATTAGACCCTTTTCCCCAACAACATATTTGAGTCGCTTTTACCTCACTGCGATGGCCATGCCGCTATAATGGGTAATAACGAATTAACCCCAAGACAACTTTTTGGACATGACGCTGTTGTGTATAGAACTCAATAACCTGCCTCGCGGCCACAGGAATGAAGTGATGCGTACCGAAGGGTAGAAAGAGAAAGTGAAGGTCAGTCATGGCTGCGCCCATGCACATCTGCTTACAAGCGGCTATATGTGAAGGACAAAATCAGTACCACCTTTGGAATTTTCTTGAACAAGTAATTCGGCGATTTTGGTCACGACTTCTAAATGGCACAATCGGCCATAAAAATTCTGAACGAACCCGCTATTTGTTTTTTGCTGACTTTCGACGAAAATGAGCAACGTTGATTGAAATCAGAAGCTTCTAATTTGTATAGGTGATAATAATGACCTATCTCGTTTACACTAACATTATTTTTCCAGTGGTAAACATATACTGAAAACGACTTATTTTTCGAGGGCTCAATATTTCGCGATTTAGGTCAGAGCTGTAGTTTTGGAATAATTCGCGGGTTCTAATTTTCGCGACGCGATGGGATCTCAATATAGATTCCAATGTGTTTACATTTTACATAAATTGTTCGCGGGACCTACTATTTCTCGAGAATTGTAGGCGATTCGCGAAAATCGCGAAAATTAAGTCCTCGCAAAAATTAGGTCGTTTACAGTATATTAAAATTAATTTTTTTTTGTGTGTGTGTGTGTGTGTCTAAAGGACTATATTTCTCGGTAGTTCAGAATTGATTTTTTTTAAGCAGTACACTCAAAATTTGAGGAAAAGGCCCCGATATGCCAGCGAGCATATATTTAAGTTTGTCTGCCAGTAGTTGCCTATTCTTGCCATTTTTATTCATTTTCACGCGAGCCTTACAACAAGCATTGAATATCAATCTTAATGACTTTTGTCAGACATTTTGAAGCTATACCCATTAATAACTGTTACAAGTTTCAGACGTCAAATCCGAGCTGTTGTCGTGGAAATTGAAGACGAATTTACTAGCCTATATTTCGAGAAATATAACTCTCAATACAAAATTAAAATTAAAAACACGGGCCACGATATGCAAAGCAAGCACTCTTTTTTTTTTTTTTTTTTTACACCTCTTAAAAAAATTTTGAGCCATTTCCGTCCAACATTAAACTCTGCCCATTTGAATTACCAAACCATGTGCGGTCAAAAAAGGTTACTTCTTTACATTTTCCCAGCGCGCACAATTTATAATATACTCATTTTTTAATATCAAAATGAATACCATTTTGTGTACTATATATTTGCGTATAATGAACATTTTTAGGAATCAACAAAGCGTAAGAATTGTGATCCACACACATAATTAATCGTCATTTTTTTTTCCGTGGCTGTTGAGGGGCCTCAACCTCTTCTCATCCATCATACAAAAAAAAAAAAAAATACAAAATACACAAAAAAAAAAAAAAACGCACGGTGTTCGCTGCAAACATGGCAGAATTATCTGCGGTTACACCTAAACCACGGGCAAAGGATGTTTCCTTCATACCCCCAGGCGAAAATCAGTCCACTTCCAGCTGGATTATGGAAGTGAAAATGAGGCACTCCAGCTGGATTCCAGCTGGGTCCAGTTGGAATCCAGCTGGACCCAGCTGGAATCCAACTGCCTCGTTTCCAGTTCCATAATCCAGCTGGAAGTGGACTGATTTTTGCCTGGGACGCATGTGTGCTCCCAATACGTCTGCAGAGAGTTGCTGTATAACCGCGATGTTACAGGACAGTCGTACAAGGAAGAGACACGTCTCAGACAGTTAGAATGCCTGCTGTATGACGCAGGGGCGGATGCAAAAATTTCCTGAGGGGGGGGGGGGGGGGGGGTCAGGTGTTGGTCAGTGTACCATATGGTTAGGGACCCCCTCCCCTCTCCCTCGTTTCGCGCACTAAATTTTAGACATGCAGAAATCAAGAGGGGGGTCAGGACATCCGGACCCCCCCTCTAAATCCGCCCTTGGTATGACGTGTTAACAGTGTAACCGCGGCTTTACGGTTTTTTTTTTTTTTTTTTTTTTTAATATCGTATCTCTATGCCCCGCACCCAGGCGCTCGCGTGGCCACCATCGCGTCAGGATTCTGTGGGGGAAGCGTCGTTTGCAGGCGGGCTTGAAAGTGGCCGCTAAAAAAAAGACTACACAGACATCCAGCGCAGTGCCGCTGCTCGCTTGCTCCTTTCGAAAAGCCGACTCTCTCGTATCTCTGGAACAAAAATGGCGTCATTTGGGACACCGGCCCGCTTCTCTCCTAGAAGCTGTAGAGAATTGCGACGGTTGTCATCATAATAACTTTACTATTTCTATTATCGTAATTGTCACAGTCTACATACACGGCACTAAAAAGAAAAAAGAAATAATGAAGTACTTTTAAATTACTCTCGAATAAAACGTATTAAATTAGATTACTTGATGGAAAAGTCATTAGCGGTTACTTGAAAAAGTGACCGTTACTTTTTCGTGTCTCTTCTTTTCGTTTTTTGTCGGTTTAAAAACAGTTTTTTTTTTTTGTGCTGTTCAATTTTGATTTAGAATCACCCAAACTACAAATACTCATCTTCTCAATACAGCAATTTCGGTAGGCCATATCCTCCTGCCGAAGACTTGGTTCGAGGATTATACTTCGCAAAAAACTTGTAGAAACAAAGGGAGCCATTAGGAGCGGGAGGGAAAAGGCAGTAATTGAAGTTTACGAGTAACTTAGTACTTTCAAAAGTAATCATATTACTCTTGCGGTTCCTTCCTAATAAAAATGATTACAAAATTACTCCAAAAAGTAACCGATTAGGAGTGATTAAATTACTTGTAACGAGTATATATGCCCTAAAAGTATGGTCGAAAAGCATCGATTTTTCAGCTACTTGCTCTTCGTGCGTTATCTGTGTTATGTGGATTCAAACCGGTGTGCGCGGGCGTCTGATCAGAATGAGAAGTGGCTATTTACAACAGCGATGACGGGACGAGAGCGAAAATGTTCAAAAGGAAGGCGATATTACACTAATGCGCAATGCACATTAAAGACACCAGTGCATAACTGGCAGTCGGATTGCACCGTCGAAGTACCCATCTATACGGCTAAGACCGGAAGGCCTACGAAAGCAAGCTAAATTCCAGATATCCGAACCCTGCTTGCAACTTTGTCTTTCTTTTTTTCACTTTAAGATTTAATTTGAAAACTGCTTTCATACCTGCACGTGCACTTTCTCCAAATCGATTCAAACTGAGAATCCGGTCAGCACAGGATGAATGAATTAGAATGACAATATACCCAGAGGAACGCAACACCGGGCGTGCCTTTGATTTCTTTAGGGTATCCACTCTGTCAGCAAACGCTTCCGGGAGAGACCCGGCTCCTTTAAATCACAACAATAATAGAATCTAACGGGTAAAAAAAAAATTAAAGAAACCTCCTGGGGGATACGTCAGCTCCCGCTCTGAGGCTTCCAGAAGGTTTTGCCCCCTGGACTCCCGTTTCAAGTTCTTCCTTCTAAATGCGAACACTATCTACGTCTTGCTATACCTTTCTGTAGACATTTTTATAGCCACATAATGTCTGCAACGTTAAGGCCCCTAAAGCCGCAGTTACAATGTTCGGCGACGGACACTTATCAGCTCACTTTACGGATTCTACCACCCGTCATTGAAAGCGCGGTTATCAAGGCCGGCCAACGCTGATCTCGCGCAATTTAATCAAGGGCATGCAAAGGCCACAAGAAGCACGTGTCAGCGACATAGATACGGCTGCGACTGAAACGTTCCACCGGCTCATCACACGCTACAAGAAAACGCAGCGTGGCATCGGCAGGAGCAGTCAGCGACGGGGCTATCTTCAGCACGGACACTTATCACTTCACTTTGCAGGTAGGACAGGTGTTATAACCTTTTTGAAAACTTATATATATGTCTCTGACTGCTGCCTAGCGTTCTACTGCAATGAACGAAGACAGCGATCGCGGTGACCTCTGTTTGCAGTTTAAAACAGGTACAGACGTTTCTGTTTCCTGTCGTACTCGATTACTTGGGCTCGGTATCTGGTATGTGGGATGAAAAAATAATACAATATTTCGCCCTGAAATATGCCATCAAATATACGTGAGGCGAAACAAGAATGTGTGAAAATCACGCATTTTTCGTGAGCACCTTCCAGCGGCGTGGAGAGATCAAACCGATGTTTTACCGCATGCCGGAAGTTAAGACATTCAAGATGGAGGCCATGCTCGCTGATACTGAACACGTGTTGACGCCTAGCTTCCATGGCGCTTCCAATTCGCACATCCACATTATCAAGATTGTCTTCTTTGGAAAACCATAAAGAAGAACTCATCCCGAGCATGCGCTGTGAGCAGTCACCACAAATATGCCGTCCAGTGAATACTACATATTGGCGGAGATAACGGTATACTCTGAAATGTAACGAATGCCATTTCAATAACCACCTTGAAACCTGCGCAGCCATCCCTGAGACCGCTCTCCGAGGAAAAAAGCCCGGTTTTAAAGAATGACGGAGATGCCAAACATGTCGGGGAGGACCACGAAGGGGAGGGGGGGGGGGGGGGGGGGGGGGGTAGTGCGAAGGGAAGGGGGGGGGGGGATGTCACGTCGGTCCATCGCCCCGGGTGCGGCTGACCCTAGTAACGCCAATGCTCGTGAGTGAGAAAGGAAGAAAACGACACAACTATCCGAATCGAGCACACCAGTGCCGTCTTGCAAAAATCAAATAAAACTGCACTTCTTAATGGCAGATTTTTTTTGTTTTTGTTTTATACTTCCGCAAAGTTTGAAAAGTCGCTTAAATAAAGATTATATCTCATGTATGGCATGCTTTCATCTAATTGTGCAATTGGGGGAAAAGTAAAGACGTCGACCTAAAGTTTTTTTTTTTATTATTAATTGAGTACACTTTTCGCAAACGAAAGCAGTAAGGTCCATAGCCAGTATTCAACTTCAGAACCATACATCTAACCAACTGAAAGAAGTTCCGCATCTTCAGCGGTCACAGTTTGAATCACTGCAGACTTAGTACTGGCCTAAAGATATAAATTACTAACTCCGCAACGACTTTTTTTTTTTTTTTTTGGCAATGGACGCGTTCAGTAGCGCCTCCCTTGCCTCCGAACGGAGTGACTCGAGTCAGAGCTCTTTGGATTTTCTCGCCGGAAATCGTCACCAGTCAGGAAATGACGTCATCTTTAGCTCCTTTGACTCTACGTGCACCGTCTCCGGACTCGGTGCTTGACTCCGAAGCCCCGGAGTTACGTGCACCGGAAGTGACTTTTGGCCGTCCAGTGGAAGGAGTCAGTGACCCCTTGACTCCGGGGCCGCTACTGAACGCGCCCAATGCAGTGGAAGGTACAGGCGCGCGTTCCCTCTCCCATATTGAGCGCTGAATAAAGCTGTGCGCGGGCTCTCCTCCTTTCTCCGGAAATGACAAGAAAAGTTGCACTTTCTAATAACCCTCGCATCGTTTCTCAAAAAAATAATAATATATACTGTATATAGACTACTACCCGTGGCGCCAGGTGTTGGGAGGTGGTCATGCAAAGAACAGACTTTATGACACATAAACGCTGGAATAGAATATCCCTAATTTACAAAGATTTTTATGAGTCTAAACGTTTGGATTCATGTCAATAAGAAAAATTCGATTTTTTTTTAATAGATGCTTATGATTATTGTAGCATTTATGAGCGTGATATCTGCGGAACTTGTTATGGTGACTTCTTTCTGTTCTTTTTTTATGTATATTTTTATTTCCCGCCGCGCACCCGTCCAAACTGGGTATGCAGCTTTTTTTTTTCTTTAATCGCCACCACCATATTATTAATATTTTTTATTATTATTGTGGCAGGGTGATAATACGAGGAAGAAACACGCCACTGTCTGCAAACTGTCTTTTGTATGAGCAGTATTACCGCTTCGTCTCATCTTCGTGCTGGATTTTGACGCCATTTATTAGCTAGAACGCACACTAGCCAAACTCAAAAAAGAAGAAAAAAAAACGCCTAGTATTTCTTTTTTTTTTTTTTCTTGCGAGCCAGCCATTTAAAATTGCAGTGCTGCAGCTCCGACTTGGAAAATGACAGTCATTTTGTGTTTCCGTGCCCCGCTCCAGCCAGGTTCCTTCGGTCTCGAACGGCGAGAAGGGCCGGCCGACTCTCTCGCTCCGCTCGGTTCCGCTGGCCCTGATGCCCTGGCCCGGCCTCGCGTTCCTTGCCTTGCTTGCGTGTCTGCGTGCGTGCGTGCGCGAGCATTCATCCGTGCTCACACGTCACCGGCGGCAGCAGCTGTGGCGGCGGGGCCGACCGCTCACGCACGGCTTTGCCGGTGCACTTGCACTGGACGGAGGTTGCCGAGTGCACATGCACCGGGCGTAGAAGGAGAGGAGGGGATGTAGTGTGGGAGAGGAGGTTGCACGATGTCGGCCAGCCTTGGCTGCCTTGGCTTTCTCGCCGGGAGTCGACTCACTCACTGTCAGTCCCTTTTTCGTGACAGATCCGATGTCTGTCGCCGCGCTTCGGAATGGGCGCGGAGGAGCCGCTGCGGCGGGATCTGGCGGAAACAGAGGATCCGGTGACGTCATCAGCCGAGGTGAGCGAAAGTATAGTGCAACGAGTATCGATCGGCGTCGATGTACTTTGTATGGATGTTTCCGACAGAGTGTGCCGTCCTGTATCGTTATAATCATTTCGACGGATATTAGGGAGTTTTAGTAGAGCGTTCCCATAATTCGATACTTCTCCGGCGCCATTTACAGTTATCAAATATTCTTCGCGAAAAAAAAAAATCTTAAAACTTTTTACTGGTGTGTCCGATCGCATAAAACGTTCTCTTCGGAACTTTCTCATGTGGAAGGGAACGTTAAAAGAGTACAGTGAGCGATTCGGTTCACAGTCTGCGAGCAATGGAAAATATAAAAAGGCCATTTCCCACCGCACATTATGTCATGTCTACGATTCTCCACGTGTTGATCGTCATTTTAAATTCGCCATACGATACCTCTTTTGTGAAACGTCAGCTTTCATCACGTCTTTCATACCAAAAACATCATCTTGGTGGAACCACCTTAATTCTAGCACCTTCCAGTATCTTTTCTAAGCATACTATCAATTGATGTAATGAGATGTTAACTAAGCAACTTTGTGAATATCGCGGCGGAATGGTTATTTTCCATCCAAATTGCATTCTTCGCTTGCTCTTCGACTGTTCTTTTTCTGGGTTAATTTTTTCTTTGCCCTCCCCCTCTTGATGCTCTCTGGACCCCGTGGGCATTGGTATAAATAAAAAAATAAGCGAATAGAAAAGTTGCGCTTCCATTTCTGCACCAAAATAGAAGAAAAGCTGTCAGGTTTTATCGTTCTCTGGCACTAATAAATGTGTAATCAGTCTTTAAGAGTGGGGGCTTGCGAGAAGATCCCGATGATAATCCGGTATCCGGTCCTATATATGAGCGAGTTTGGTAAAGATTACACTAAAAATATCAGAAAAGAATGTATATTCTTTTCTGATACCTTTATACCTTTATAGTACTTTCTAGTACGTACCCCACGATGTCTATTGTGGGAAACAGTCTTTTTTTTAAGTTTGGCGTTTATAAATTGCTTAAACAATCAAAATTATGTTGATAACAAAGTTTTGATATTCCTGGTCGTGCTTCAAAAGTCGGAAGTGGAGTCTGTTTAAAAATTTTTTAAATAAATAAAAAACCACGTGTCATCCGAAACAACTTGTAATCGGTTCAAAACCTGTTTTACGTTTAGCAGCCTGTGGTAGCGAGCTCACACTCCTGTCAGTGTGTGTTGATTACGGAAGGCATACAAACATCAACACACTAGGGCTGTTAAATTATCGGTTACCCAACCGCTAACGCGATTATTCGCCGACTAATTTTTTACCTGATTCGGTAAATACATTTAGCGTTTCTCTATCTGGGATTGCCACAGACATCATCTTGGTCGCTGCCAAACGCAGTGCCTTGAATTCATCAGCTGAGGGATTTCTACTCATCCAAGGCGCCAGCACCCAATCTATAGAACCGCAATCTTTTTTTTTTTTTTTTTTTGCCCTAAAATGTTATGTAGGCAAAACACAAGGGCATCATTTAGCACTAAATTAGCGGCGAAAGTTCTAGCCAAAACATAAAGCTCATGACACACCTAGCTGATGATTTGACTTGAGTAAAAATGTGTTTTTTACTTACCTTTCCTGAACTTCTGTCATCAACCCATTACATTAGGGTGTATGTTAAAGGGGTCATGAAACGATTTTCCTACTTCTTCCTCCTTAGCTTTAATCCTCAACTCAAATGCGAATTATGAAATCACGTGGTCGTGACATTCCTTTGGCACCGGTGCGATGACTCCTAGCCTCCACCGTGCTTTTTATGCGCACCATAGAACTTGTCATTCCCCAGTGACGATAAGTTCCGTCTGGGCACTCGTTGGCCACGAACGCGGATCCGAATATTCGTCGACAGATTTATTGTTGACGAGCGCATACGTCCGAGTGACGCAGTTCTCGTGTCCAATGCGTGAGCTGGGCTCTGCTGACGTCAGTTTGGCACCGGTGACGCGCTTTTGGAACCGCGGATGTATCATAGTCAAAAGGCGGAGAGCTTTCAAAGGCAAGGAGGTACAAAATAGTCCGCTATATTTTCAAATGTTCGTACCGAAAAGCTGGCTTTTGACTTTCTAGCCTCTTTCTTTTGGCCAGCTAAACGATATGCGATTAGTAAAGTCCCAATTTAAAATCATTCAACCCAACCCAAAATTCGTTTCATGGCCCCTTTAAACAACAAAGAAATTGAATGATATGGCTTTAATATGATAGGGCTTGTTTACCTTAACTTCAACGGCGTCAATCTTGTTTAGTCTCTGTGTACTAAACAATTATCGGAAACTTTTTTTTTTTTTTAAATGTCTTATAGAAGAACATTCTAATATGACTTGTCGTTCGTCTACCGAAAGAGAGGCTAGGGTACCGAGCGAGCCTGTTCCTCTTGCAAAACGCGACGCAACGGCATGACACGCTCTTCTCCATCAACCAAAGGAATATTGGTCAGACCCCCGTAACTCAATCGACGAAACTAATTTTCATTCATCACAAACTGTTCCAGTGATCGCTTTTCACTTATGGTAGTCGTATTAGGTACAATACAACGTCCTTATTTTTTCGGCAAAATTTTAAACTCGTACGATTATGTTATACTCAGCCGAAAGGTAATTAAAAGTATTTAAATTGCGCCTATGGCAAGACACGAAAAAAAGACAAAAAAAGACAGAGTTTTTATGTAAAATTGTTGTCTGAAAGCTGACGGCATTCCTTATTGGGTGGAACTCATCGGTAACATGTTGCCCATTAGCCAAGCTATTGTTTAGTACCTTTTTTTTGACATTAATATAAAGTTAAGGTAAGCTACCAGTGCTTCTAATAGCAAACGACGATACGATGATCGTTACGCACCGAATCAACGCATATAAAACTACGATTTGTTAAGCAGCACTACTTACAAATAAACAAAGCCTATATCACAGGCATAGGGATTAGGCTGTGAACTCTTGGTTAGTGTTGATACTTAACCGTTAGCATTATCTCAATACAAATGTGTCACCACCTTGCATATGGCCACGCGGCGTTGCGATTTGGCAGCACACGCGGCTCCCACGTTAAGGCACGGGGTTTTGAACCCCGCCTATCTATTTTTCATTATGCCTTTCGCTGGCGTGCTGGAACAGTCCTTATACTTCTCGACACTTTTTGAATGTTCTTATAAAGCGTGTGTAGTGGCAGCCGTAGGTGCTGCTCTGTGTCAGTCGCAGTCCCGGGAACGGCACAGTAGGAATGGCTTTATTTTTGTTTTACATGCGGACGCAGGCTTGCCTCATTAGACGTTTATTTTCAGTATTACATTTGTCACCTTCTTTATGTTTGTTACAGTATTTACTCCTTCACCTAAAAAATTGTCTCTCGGGAAGTACCACACGTTTCACTTCATTACAGGGAAACTTGAGTTAATTTCAAGAAATGTGAATGATTGATTATACAGGACGGTTTCTGTGAAAGCTTTCAAAAATCCCCCCAAAAATATGCTGTTTGAGGTAAAAAGAAACTTTTGGCGGGTACAAACTACCAGCATTGGCGGACATTCAGGATTGCAAAAACATACTAATAAGCAAGAACTAGAATTTACTAATTAATTTTTAACGAATGAGAATAAACATGGTTCCACTGAGAAATTTGCTAAGCACCATCGAAAACCACTAAACCAACTCCTTTAATTTAGAAAGCTATTTGGCAAGGAGAGCATTTCACGGCCTGCCGTAAAAACGCTCAAGTTGTCCGTGTTTCTTCTAGGTTTCCGTTTCTTATCGGAGCTCACCTTTGCGCCCGCGGCCCTGCTCCCCTGTGGTCGCGGCTCGAGAAGCCACCGCGTCGCCTCCCTCGTAGGAGGGAGGAAGGCATGGTGCACGTGTGTTGCGTGCCTAGGCCACTGGGGAGCAGGGCCACGGGAGCAGAGATGCGCTCCGATAAGAAACCAAAACCTAAAAACGCGTCCAAATGGAGCGTTTTTACGGAACGCCGTAAAATGCTGCTGCTTCCTTATATCTTTCTAAAAAGAATTGATTTAGTGGTTTGCGATGATACTTAGCAAGTTTCTCAGTGGAACCATACGTTTATTTTCACTAATTAAAACATTACATAGTAAATTTTAGTGAATTAGAGTCGCTAATTAGTGTGTTTCTGGAATTCTTAACGTCCGCCAAGGCTGGTAGTTTGCTCCCGCAAAGAGTTTCTTTTTATCTCGAGCAACATATGTTGAGAGATTTTTGAAAGCTTTCGCAAAAACACCAAATCTCGAAGTATGAATAAACAACTCTACGTCATTAAAAAAAGTATAATAGTTTTTGGCAATATTTATTTAAAGCTTACCACAATCCAAAACCTTGCCTGCGTCGGGCAACATTGTCCCTGTGTCGTTACCTACATCCCCTAACCACGCGGTAGAAATCGTGACGTCACGAACTAGGCACGCGGGCGGGCGCCGCCGACAACGCACTGCCGCGACCGCAGCTTGTGTTTTAGCACCGACAAATGCAAGTTTTCCCGAGGGCTTGTATTGAACCCATGAGAAGCAAGTGAAGTTCAGGCACGTAAATTTTGTCGCAACGGATTTGTAGAAGTATTCCGTGCTCAACGTCGCAGACTGGCTCTCTCGTGCGCGACAGGCGCTGCTGGCGATGACGCTTGCTCGAACGCAAGCACACAGGCGCATGGGCGTTTTACGAATAACGTAATCAACGATGAGCGCACTGCTAGCGCCGCCTGTAGGCTTTGCTTAACAAAGTAATAAACGAGCAAGCAAATCTCCCTGGGAGCCCTGTGCGCAACGCAGTAGCGCAGGGCGGCGCAGGGTAGGCTGCACCGCCAACACGGTGGTTTATGACCATGTGTTGCGGAGTTGACACTCCGGAGTTGGAATGACTCTGAAATCATTCTGCATTTTTGTGACCACGGAATGGAATAGGAATGGAATGGCGGCAACGTTCAGGGGAATGGAATGGGAATGGAATTAGATGCCTTTTGCCCGGAAT